TTATTGTAAATTTTATAATGTATAACATCAAATGAGTAGGAAAATATCAAATCAAATATTTCACTCCAAATTTAAAGAGACAATAAAAATTGCTCCATATTATAAGTTTTTATTGCCAATAAAAATTACCAAGAAATTATTATACTATTTTTAATCGAAATATATATATTTGTTCATTTATACAAGTTTATTTACTTATAGATTTTGTGCAGTCAACGGATCCTGAGTAATAGTGTAGAATAAAGTGATTAATTGCTTTTGTATTGTACTTTAAAAAAAAAATTTAAATAAACTTCTATTATCATTCCTAATTTATAATTTTCATTAAAAAAGAAAAAGGAAAAAAGAAACGCGTACGTACCGAGAAGAAAAACAAAAATATTAAAAAAGGAACACAAGATGATCACGAAAACGTGGATGCCCCATACAATGCATTATCTAGAAGTAATGACGAATTATCTAGAAGTAATGACGAATGACGAATGGCTTGTGGACCATGAGAACTCAAGTTAATACGGAATAATATGTGTAATCCAAACGCCAATGATCACATGCTGTCTTTTCGGACTTTCGAAGTTGAAGCTCACGTTATAAATGGTGCAAAAACATGTAACCAACATATGGGACAGTAATAGTACTCTTTGAATTCCCATAAATTTCTTGTCATTCCGAACAGCAGGCAACATTCGCCGTCTTCTCCTTCTGCTCTAACCTCTTTTCACTTGTTAAAGTAAAAATAATTTAAAATTAATAAAATAAAATAAATAATATTTATTAAGATTGATTGGTAACCCACTCAATTAAACCAATCTAATCAATTGAACTAAACTTTGGGTTAGACTTTAAAACATTGATTTTACCATTAGAATAACACAGGCACGCCATTCTCAAGTCTCAATTTATCTAAATCTACCTCATCCATTTAAGCTCACTTTGACATAGATTAATAGTGACTTATTCTATTATTTTTTAATAAGTGATGGCTCTGATTTTTTAATTTTAAAACTTAATTTTTTATTTTTATTTTATTTTTAAAATTTTAAATAGGGCATCAATAGGTAGATAAGAAAATCAAAGAAAAACCCATTAATATTTGCAATGAACATCGTATTTGTAGTGTTCCTTGAATGTTCCTTCTGTGCAATATGCGATATTTTAAGGTGCTTAATATTATGTTAAAAAAAAATTGATATATTTTTTAGTTAAACATATTTACAATATTTAATAATTTAACCATTAAAATTTATAATTTTTAATTTTTTATTTTTAATTTAAATTTAAAAATAATAATTTTTTAATAAATATATTATAAAATATGTTAAATTAAAAAATATCAATTATTACCCTACTGCACATGCACAAAAGCACAATGACCAAATCTTTTCGCACATCCAAGGATGGGTTTTTTTTTTTCGGAATAGAGCAATTAATACATATTGTAAATTGTATAATATGGGAAAAAGAAAAGGAAATTTCATAAAACCATTATTTTTTTTTTTTGAACTTTTTGTCATGGGCGTCCACATTTATTTTGGGTAATGATTTACTGAAATGCAATAATTTTAGGGGATAATTCACACATTTAACCAATAACATTTATGTCATTGTCAATACACCTGATGAACGTACTGTCATGGACCAAATTCTTTGGTGGCGTTTCTCTTTGAAGTTTGAGAACCCTTAATTCTTGGCACATTTAATCCTTATCAACCTTTCATTGTATCCATAGTTTGATGAAGCAGATCTCCCATGT